GATGCCGAATGGACTCTGCAATGTTATCACCTCAATATTTCTTTATATGAAGTAGATCCTATCTTTTTATTTTATCTTAATAGAGCCAGAAGTAACTTTCAAAAATGTAACGTTATTGTTATGTGAAAAAAATTAGGAAAACTAAAGAATCCATCACAGGTCAAAGCAGTAGGATACATTTTGTTACAATACCCCACATAGTTTTACAGAAGATTGCCTATCAATTTCTTCTCAAGAAGCCACCCATTAATCAGAAACTGAATCAAATACATAAGTCTTCTATACAATCAAATTTACATTTCATTCCAAAGCAACAATAGCAAAACCATCTGGATTGATACAGCTAATAATATGTTAACTGATTTTTTTAAAATCTGTAGTTATTGACTCTGACCATGACAATGTTTACCAGTATATTTTGATGGAGTCCCTTTAGTTTGTACAGTTAAAAAATTATTTAGATCAGTATACACAGTGACCCTGAATATGATGCTAAGTGATTTCATTGTCATCAACGTCAGACAAGATCTTTCTTTTATCAGTGTGACCCATTTAGGAAATTTACACTAAGGCTTTATAAGTCCCAGTATAAAGACCACAAAGACAACCATTTATTTAACTTAAACCACAGAATTCATTTCAAAATGACTGCGTAACAAGTAAACTCACTATAAAAACCGCTTCACCCATTTAAGCTGTATTCTTTTAGTTTTTACCAATTTCTATTCTCTACTGCCAAGCATTCTATTTTTTAAAAATCACCAAAGTCCTCAAGAAATCCCAAAGAGAAAAAACTAATATAATTTTAATGCTAAATTCAGAACAATACATACCTGCTGGTCTGCTTAGAATATGTGTACACATTTTTTGGTATTCTCACTAACTCACAAGATCAGTGACTTTGATCATGTAAATCCCTTTTTCAGAACTAATGGACAATATGCAGAAAAAGAACTTTTATTGCTCGTTCTGCCTTGCTTTCGTCCTGCAGTCGCTGCTGCCTAAACTCAGCTCTGCTAAATGACCAAACCCACCTACAAGGAGCCTGGCTAATGAAAGGGGGTGCTTTCTGAACAATAGAAGAATTCCTTTGCATTCAGAAAGCAGAGTTCCCATTAGAACCCAAAATCAGAGAGGCCAGTTTTACCTCTTTTTTTTTTTTTTTAATTGAGATTGTCCCAGCCCTCCTCTACGGTCCAGTGAGACAGTGCTTGTGAAATGATTAAAAAGAACGTGATCTGATCAAGAGGACAGAATAATGGGAAAGGAATGCTAGGTTAGCCACTCCGCTAAGTGCTGGGAAAGAAGACCAGCGCGCCCCTTAGCCTATTGTTTTTATTCTCCTCTGCTCTTCAGCCAACCTCCTCGCACTTTGAGTCTTTATTTACTCCATTTTAACGGGTTAAAAGTTGTCCACTTACAAGAGAATTTGGTAACAAGTTACAAATCCTAAAAAAAAAAAACCAGAAAGGAAAAAGAAAAAAAAAAAAAAGAAAGGAAGGAAGAAAGAAAGAAAAATCCTTGAATTATATCAAGTTTCCAAAAGGTCATCACTGTCTCTGCTGTGGCCTTTCCCCCATTCCAAATCCTCTATCAATATGTCATAGTGAGTTAGGCAAAGACAAAAGAGAGGCACAGTGTGAAAACGGCACATATATCTAATCCTGACAAAGCAATGAATAGACCTTCACAAGTATAATTATACTTGTTTATTTGTTGCCACGTACAGAGAACTGATGAAAAAAATCCATCAAAGTGGTATTATGCAGACACCAAGAGCTTCTTTTCTTTGGTTGCTAAAGCCACATTGAGGCTTAAATTCCTTATTGTTAAATTCAGAAGAAAGAAAAAAAAAGATTTTTGGCTAGACTTTTTTTTTTTTTTTTTTTTTGCATCAGTTGCTGACAGATCTTTTGTGTCCTAGGCTGTATTAGCTCACACTGCTACCTCATTTTTACCCATGTTGGAATTCATAATTACAAACTACTGTACAGAAGCTTTTAAAAGGGTGTGGTGTGCTGACCAGGAGAGGGTAGTGAAATGGTCCTTTTCTCATAGTCTTTCCTTTGATATATCCAAACACAGGTAAAATACCTGTGTGGAAGCACCATTTACGTCAGAATACATCTTTGATCTCAGTCTTTTAAGTTGGAGCTGGTGGTTTTCTTTAGTCAGCTTTCTCTACAATTTGCTCATTTTAGTATATGTTGAGTATTTCATAAGAGATTACATAACTTCTTTCCCATTGCAGTATTAAAAACGTTAGCAAGGAAGGCAAAGACGAGGATGTCAAAGGATTGAAAATATTAAGTAAAAGGATTTCAAATCCAACTATTAAGGAGCCATTATGTTCCAATAGACACTAAATCAAATAACTTAACAAAAGCACATGGGGGGGGGGGAGCCAAATGAGCTTTTTTTTTTTTCCTTTCAGGATAGAAATATATCAAAGTAAAAGCAATCTGCATAGTTAATGTTTGTGAGCTTTACAATTTAAAAC